CTCTTAAAAAATTTTCAGAACCATAATTTTAAATTATTTTTATTTTACATATATTTTTTATAAAAAAAAATACTATAAAAAGTTACGAATCTCCTTTTTAAACACACAATAAGAGATTTTACAATTGATAAAGAAAAAATTTTACTAAAACATTATATAATTATTTTTTTATATTTATTTTTTTAGAGTGCAGTATAAAATACTTAGTATTAAAAGACTATCTGTTATTATTTCAGTGGAAGAAGACATTTAAAATGTATACAAGTTGTACTACAAATTCAAATAAAACTCGTAAAACTTATCTCTATCGTTAAAATTCTCACTTTTGCGTATGAGAGAAGTCTTTGTTCAACTATACACATTTAAAGAAAATGTGGACATTGCTTAATTAAACAAAAATATAGTAAAATGCATTATCATTATTAAATACATTACATGATAATACTGCATAAGGAGGAAAAAAAATTACTCTTTACAATACATTTACTGTGATATTTACATCATAAACATTTAAGTAGTCGAATAATGCTCTTTTTGTTATAAGACGCTTTCATTGAACGCCTAATCATCAGATCATTTCTTCGTCTCTGACGTGGAACAAACGTCGTTCATAAATGACAGTGGTATAAACATATCATATCACAGTCAATTTGTATACATGACCTAACACTTTTCTCCACATCGAAACAACCTTTTGAGTACGTAATGGAAAATAGTAAAAGTTTATGTACAATACCGACTTAAATGGATAATACAATATAAAAAGAAAGCAAAGAAATTAGTTGATTACATATACGAAATTTGGTTCAGGTATTTGTCTTAAATTGCTAACAACACGTATGATAAGTAATTGGAAATAGACTTCAGCAATGTTCTCCAGTGCCAACTATATTATTAGAGGATTTATGCAAAATGAAGAAAAAAAAAGGCAGAATAAGAAAGAAGCAGAAAGAAGAGAATAAAGAGAACAAATAGTTCAGGTAATTATCTTTTATTGCTAAAAACATGCATCATAAGTAATTGAAATTTGATTCAACAATATCTTTGGCTGCCAACTAAATTATTAAAGGATTTATACTAAGTACAAAATAAGAATTGAAAGACAGCTGAAGAGGTAGAGACGACTAGAAGGAAGAGAAGAATGAAATTATAAACATAACTGAAACAAAACCTAAGAGACTGACCAAAATGTTAGAGAGGGAAGCAAAACGCAGAAGATTGACTAAAATATAGAAGAAGAAAGAACAAATGCTTAAAGTTTCAGTTGGACAGGAACGACGTAAACGTCGAAAAAAAAAATCAAGCAGTAAGAAACCAGGAACAAAATAGGAAAAAAACAAAAGTAAAGGGAAAAAAAGGGAGAAACTAAAATTACACCAAAAGGACAGAAACAGACTAACAAAGAACAAACACATGAATAAAAACATAAGTCAAAAATCCTAGAATGAGATAATATAAAAGGGAAAGTGATTGAAAGTGGAACATCAAAAAAATAAATCTGTGAAAGTAAGGGACTAAAAAAACTGCTTACTGTTAAAAGAACATCAACATCGTAAAGGAAAAGATGAAGAGTATAAATCCCCAATAATTCGGACTACGACAAAAACTGTTAAATCATCATTAACAATTACCCAACAGATGGTAACAATAAATAGATTAAACATCATCATCACCGGAGAGGAACATATTTTTAAGAAGAAACAAATTTCTCCAAAAACAGTAGAAGAATTATAAAAACATAAATCCCAAATAATACGGGCAACGTTAAAACCTGCCAAAGCACCGTTATCAATTACTCAATACATGGCAACAATAAAAGAAAAATACATCATCATAACCAAAGAACAATAGAACACGGGAAAAAAGCAGACTCTTAACAAAAGAACAAAAGACATTCAAATTAAATTTAAGTTTAAAATAATGTTAGCAAAGTCAATAGAAACACAATAACAGCAACAGAGTACAGTATATAGATATAATAATATTTTAACACATTAACATACAAAATCCTCATAAAATAACACATTAACTTTTTAAAGCAACTGAAAAGAACAGATAAGAATTAAGAAATATGTACCTCAGTTGGAGAAAAGCAATGGACAAAATAGATGAAGGACAAGAACCAAAATTCGAAAATAGATACAACCAAACAGAAGAAAGCAGAATAACAGAGGAGGAGAAAAAAAAGGCACGAACGATGGATTATAATAGTCTGAGAAGAAAAACAGAGAGAAAGTAAGAAATGGTACTGATAAAATGAAAAGCAGAATATATATATATATATATATATATATATA